GGGACTGATGGTACGCACCATTATCGGTAGGGTATAGAGACTGGTAGAATATCATAGAGGGAAGCACAATGGACCAATACTGGTCTAAGTGCATGGGGAAACCCACCTCTCCAATAACTAACTAACTAACTACGCTACCGCGTGCCCCTGCTACATGGTATTCTTAATGTAATCAGTCAACACAACAACTCTATAATAAACAAATCAATACTGCTACACTAGTATTCGTTTATTGTGTGAAGTATGAAGTATTGCTACATGTTTCGACACTGTCGGGTCATCATCAGGCAAACATTGCGTGAATGTCACTCGTTATTGCATTATTTACCGATATGCATCCAGGTAGGGGACTTATACATTTTTGTTCGGTTCGCTTTATACAATGTTAAATTATAAAGTTTGTCAGAAAATAAAAATAAAATTCCTTGTAGCATAAAACATACAATTTATGATTCTTCTGATTATTCTTCTGGCGTAACGCTGTATGTCGTACAGTAAGGGGCCTTTCTAACGAGTCGGCGTTATTATTTTAATTCCCAGTGGATCTGAAGGCAAATTATAGACGTATCGGTGATGACAGCTGATATCCCAGCTAAGATTCGAGCCGAAAACCTCCTGATTTCTTTTTCGTGGAGTGGGGTGAGACTGAGTCCACTTGGTACGTTGGCCACTAATTTGTCTATTCTACCATCCCCGGATGATACACGATTATGGAACGTTTGGTGGAATGAGAATTGACAGGGTAAACCGAAGTACTCGGAGGAAACCTGCCCCAATTTAAATTTGTCCACCACATGTCATGATCTGGGATGGAACCCGGGCCAGAGCGGTGGGAAGCCGGCGACTAACCGCCTGAGCTAGTGAAGATGAGTCTCGAAAGTTACCGCTATGCTAAGCTGCTTGGTGACCACATCTTACAGAAATAAAGTCTTTGTGACGGCTGCACAGTCATCACGCAACGTTCTTCATGCCACTCATACTTCAGGTCTCCTAAGCTAAAATATTATCCTAGCCACATCGCCTTCAGTGAGCCTCAGTCTCACATACTCGTACTCAACCCTTTAAAGTCCAGTGGCTGCTACACAGTGTCCCAAGAAGAAAGGTCAATATTCTGGGAGGTCACAGTATCAGTCGTTCTAAGCAAAAAAAATGTATACGTACATGTGTCCTATTAAAAAAGGTTTCCGAGATAGAGCTATTTCACTGTACAGTTCCAAAGCTGTTCACGAGAAAGAGATATTAAGCACTGTTGTGATAAAGTTGGTACAGTTTACCCAGTACAACACATTTCCGAAAATTCCACCGTAAGCATAAGTGCACTTTTCAACTCGTGTGAGGACATTGCGTGTTGCTCGTCTGTACAGTGTACTGTGCGGTGAAATAGCTCTATCTCGGAAACCGGTCGGAATAAGGTACATGTAAGCTGTCCCTGTAACAGGCAGTGAAGGCCCACAGGGTTGTGAGATGTCGAGGCTCCAAATTTTTCTCTAAACAATCGGCTCAAATATGGCGGTAAAGTTGTTAGCCTTACGCGCCGGCCGTCCTTTATACACAGGAAGATTCCTGGTACTCATTTCTCTTAGCGGCTGAGTCAACCCCAGGGCCACAGTGCGGCTGGAAGGATTGGGCAAATTGAAAAATTTCACCTCATTGGGAATCGAACGTGCGACCTTCCAGTGCCTCAACTAACTACGCTACCGCGGGGGCATATGTACGAGTACATATACCTTTTTTGCCTAGAATGACTGACACTATGACCTCTCAGAATACTGACCTTTCCTCCTGCATTCTGTCGAAGCAGTGCATTTGTGTGTGTCGTATGAGTCTTATAAACAGCGATTTTTCCCCTGAACGGCATTAATCGGCTGGTCTTTGTAGAAACATAATGTGTTTCCTGTGAGGTATGAACTTAATTTTTATATATTACTTACAAGAAATTCAGTCTTCAAAGGGTCAAATCTGGGTAAAGGGAACTCCCCCTTCTTCTTCGCACTTTCATCTCCACTAGTTCCAGAGGTATTCTAAATTCCAGCGAAGACATGCCTTAAGACTCTTCACGCGGAGGATAAGTCTGTCGTCAAGACTGTCTTCACAAGGCAATACAGAAAATGACTGGCAAATTTGAAAACTGCGTAATCCCACTGCTTAGGCAGGCCATAACAATGTGCGCCCAACACTGGGTAGGATGACGTCACGATGGGCACAGAATTCCAATACACTCTGTATATTATCTTCCTATGTATTTGGGACATAATCAACAGCTGTCCGTATTGGATATACCAATTAAATTGGCAAAAGCTGACGTAACTTGATGCCCATAAAAGTTCCCCATCATTTGTCTGGCTTCCAACTTGTTAGAACCGAGTAATACTTGTCTGAACAGCTTCAGAGTGCAAATGAAAGTTCTGTGGTGAAACCTGTCTATGTAGGACACTTTCGCTGACCAAGTTACCTATCTACCTTCTACAGAGTTCCCATGCGGTTGGTGATTTTTACTGATGGCGCACTCCCTACCTCCCTATTACTTTTTTTATTGCTAGTGGGGTGGGACTAAGTCCCTTGTACTGCGGCCACTTCTCGCCTATAGTACCAGCCCCAAATGATAAGTGAGGGTGATTGTGGAGCAACTGGTGGAATGAAGATTGGCAGGGGAAACCGAAGTACTCAGAGAAAACCTGCCCCAGCGCCACTTTGTCCACCACAAACCCCAGTTGACCAGGCCCGGAACTGAACCCGGGCTACCGCGGTGAGAGGCCAGCGACTAACCCCTTGAGCTATGGCGCGGTCAAAGCTCAGGAGGTTAGTCGCCGGCTTCTCACCGCGGTGACCCGAATAATATATTACAGATACATACTGACGACTCAATCTCCTGCGTTAAGAGCGAAATTTCCTTTACTGAAGTTTGCAGGAGACGAAACTCAATACTTCCCAGTATATACCCTGAACTGTTGAAGTGGATGGCGGAATAAACACAGACGGTAGTGCTCAGTCTTTGGAATGAAAACGAAATAACTCAATTCCTCTGCTTTGAAATTATATACATCCTTAACAATCCCGTTTTCACCTATGTAATGATTTCAAAATCCAAGGTATACGACAGGAGTAAAGAACGCCTACACGGGATTTATGGTGCTTCAAAGCGCGTGAGGCGATTCACAGAGCGAACGGCATATCGTCAAAAAGGGGACTACTTCAAGTGTCTCGAAAGTGTAGACTGCATATGCATCTCAATTATAGCCACAATTTTGTGTAAATATTATTTCTGCGTACTCGATACTTACGTAAACGTATCTCAATCATATTCAAGTCCGCTGATGTGGTCAATGTCGCCAGACACAAAAACTAAATTCAGTTTTTCGAAACTAATTTTACGGGCATGAGGAAATCCGATCACCCAAACGGAAAGAACACAGTAAATCTAACTGCCCTACCCACGTATTGCTCGCAAACACGCCTAAAATTATTGCCCGGTCCTCAGTTCGAGTTTTGGATACGTCATCGGCTAAGCTGCTTGAGGTTTTATGAAGTATACCTACGTCATTCAGTACGAATTCTAGAACATCCATAAATAGTCCAAAGGCGCTCCGCTTTCAAGCAACGTTAAACAACCTTTTAAAAATTCAGTGTCGTTATATTAGCTAGGAACCAACTTCAAATTTCAGGTAACCCCAGAACAGTGAATACATACTTAGTTATTTACCGTATTATGTCTTTGTTTTTCTGACAAAAAAAAATCGACAGAGGAGAGTTATCTCCTTCTTTCTCTTCGAATGAAGTGCATACAACTTGGATATCCTCTGGGAATTGGTGCAATAGGTGTCTGGACTCTCACAGCTCTAGTTTCGCATGTGTAAACTCTAACCGCGATCAACTGTGGATATTCCTGCATTGCGCTGTTATAAGGTTGCCATCAGCTGGGATAAAATCCACAACTTTACACAACGATATTGACGCTGCGAGAAGAGACCTCAATTGCACGATGCTACAGTAATAACGCGGCTACTTAAGGGCCGAACTTTGCTATGTAGGGGTGAGATAAATAAAACTCGAAGAGATTATTTCCTTCATAACGTGTACTCTTCTCCAAGAATAATTTGAATAATCAAGACAAGGAGGATGAGATGGACAGGACATGTAGCACGAATGGTGAAGAGGGATGCATATAGGATATTGGTGGGAAAGCCAGATGGAAAGAGACCACTGGGAAGACCAAGGCGTAGGTGGGCGGACAATATTAAAATGGATCTTAGAAAGATGGGATGGATTGGATTGATCTGGCTCAGGATATGGACCAGTGGAGGGCTCTTGTGAACACAGTAATGAATCTTTTGGTTCCATAAAATGCTGGGAAATTCTTGAGTATCTGCAGGATTGGCGGCTTCTCGAGAAGGGCTCATCTCCATGAGTAAGTATAAAAATAATGTATTTTATGGACCTTTTTTCTTTCGAAAATCGTTGCCCCCCCCGCCAAGCCAACCCAGTTGCCGCTCAGAAGACATCAGTCCTTGTGCACTTGCATCCCCGGCTTAGGGGGAACGCGGACTACTACAACTGATAATAATAATAATAATAATAATAATAATAATAATAATAATAATACGGACAGCAGAGTACAAGAAACCCTCTTCTTACTTGGTCTTTTGTGACACTGAATGCATGGATGCTTTTAAGTACACAAGACATGCAAAGCAGATACAGCTTGTGTACCTACCAGTACACTTCATTCAGTTTCATATCTCCACAGCTGACCAAGAAGGAAAGAGGGAAACTCATGCAGTAGGCGCGCACAGCGGTAAGGCCTCCCCGGCACAGTCGCCAAATAATCTTCACGCATAATCCCGCTGCTCAAGGTAGTCCACGCACATTAATTCATTATATCTATATTTTCGTTCAGGGATGAATTGTTAACAGTATCTTAGTACCTACACAGGCCATATTTTCGCCAGTGCTGCTCTAGTTAGTGAAAAAAAAAAAATGTTAAAAAGAATCAAGACACTTACCTATAAAAATGAAAATTTGATGGTGAGAATACCGCAGAAGCATGGATACGGACACAGTCTGAAAATAAGAGAGTTATCATATTCAAACACGTCAAACAAGCATGTGGACTAAACGGACCACCATGTCCGCGTGCCTGTCAGTACGAAATAACTTCTTAACCAAACTGAGGGATTTTTCTTGAAATGTAGTATAAACATAACATTACTGGGGGTTACTCCACTTCATGTTTACGGCAGTGCGGAAAATACTGCTGCCACTTCGCTCTCTGAAGCTGTGATTACTATATGTACCAGCTGCTTTAACATTAGAAAATCTCTTCGCTTAAATTTTAAACTTACTACGTGTACTTACGAGGGAGAGTCAGTAAATAGGTCACAAATGGAAGTAAAACATCTGTAATGGACGTAATAGGTTTTCCATGTGCATCACTGCGTAGCAGCACAATCCAGCTTCATGACAGTATAGGTAGCAGATGCGCATGCGCATATTCAGAGGTTGGTTACAGTAGTCAAAATGGCGACCGTGCTTGAGATGTATACTACCGAAGATAAGCGTTCTGGTGTGCGTCTTTTGTGGGCAAAAAGATTACTAAGTGCGAAAGATATTCATAAAGAAATGTTTTCTGTTTACGGTGGGAAGTGTTTATCGCGTAAAGCGATTCAGCCTTGGGGGCAGACGTTTCGCTGATGACGAGGTTGAAAAGGAGGTGCGGAAGTGGCTGACACAACAGTCAAAGGATTTCTATGCTGCGGGTATCGACGGACTTGTAAGACGATGGGACAAACGTATCAATGCTGGTGTAGGATATGTCGAGAAATAAATGTTTTTCACGGGTTCGAATATCACATGTTTTACATTTTATATCCATTTGTTACCCATTTAATGTGTCTCCCTCGTACACTTCTAAAGGAATTTAGAGTATCAAAACTTATTTAAATCAAACCATGCCGTTCAAAATCCTTCGTGAAGTTCAGTACCGTTACAAATACAGGTATAACTGCACCGCCTACAGTATCGACAGCTGCTCCTACACGAATGTAAAGAGAACAGTATAAATAAATTTCGTAGGCGGAAACGTGACAATTGTTCGGATGGGTGCAACACTGTATGTCTCGTTATAAATTCTGTTTTAAAGCCCTAGAGTTTCAGAAACGTATTGTACAGTCTTAAAGAGACATTTGTAAGATTGCATAAGATTGTATTATTATTTGGGACCAATGACAGACAACAAGAACTAGACATAACGCTTCTGACATATGTTTACTGTTTTTTAAAGTACTCCACTCGAAACCTACAAACCTTACAGTGCGAAACTGTGTCATTATTCTGAACAATTTTTACTAGAAACATTTTCCGCTCCGAAAAAAAAAATTCGCGAGTTCTGCTCGACATGCACACAGAAGAAAACACGCACGTCCACACGTCATCAATTATAGTATCCGACAGTGTTGTCTGATTTTAACCAAAACTGGAATGAGCTAGCTAATTTTAACAAAATTCTCCAATTTCAAATTTCATGAAAATCTGTTCGCCTGTTCTTACAGTTATTATGTACGAACAGACACACAAACACTTCGAAGCGATCAGGGGCGTTTTCACAACCTTTCGCTGCGAAAAAGCAATATATATATATATGGTTCGAGTCCCAAACTCCCCCATCAGATACAACTATATTCACCGGGCAATTCGCGAATTGTGACACACGTAAACATTAATCCTGATTTAATTTTATCGCCATATTACAATTCATATAACAGAAAACTGTAGGTTAAATTAACAATCAAAACAAATTAACTATGCTGTATCATTCTACATTCACGACACTCCCTTTTCATCAAGCGGTATACCAAAAACAGATTATCGGCATAATGCCCTAGGCTTATAAGAGCTTTAACAAGTACACACACAGAAGTAAATGCATAAATATACTTCTCATACACAAAACAGCTGAATGCAAAGCTTCCTGCGGAGATCAGGACGTATATTACGTCATAACGAGCCCAAAAATAACACAGCAAGCCTGGTCGAATCGAGCACACATCCTAAATCACCGCGTATTCATCTTCCTCGTAGTGAAATGATACCCCCTGTCCCATTTTACCCTCTTCTCTACCATATAGTTTGAAGTTAATGACCTAATTAACCCTAGCTGCTGCTAGGGTATCCGTTCACCCCTTGGGTTGTAGGAACGGCTAGAGTCATATAGCAGTAGACACAGGACACCGACGGTGGGAAGGGATTGGGGGGAGGGGTATCAATTACTATACCATACACTCCACTCGCACAATATATCAAAATTATGATTATACTGTGAAGGTCTCTCGCCCTGCAGTAGAAAGGAGATGTATAACACGGACGGGCCGTAATCATGCGTCACAGGAGACGTTAGAGGCCATCATCAGGCTCTATTGACGAGTGGCACCATGAAATTCGGATGCCTGCGTCACTCTATACCTAGTAATCCGTCATCCACCCCTCGCCCCAAATCCCGTCTCGCCTAGGAAATGCTCTAATAAAAAACATGATGCAGCAATAAAGCGTTTTCCTGCAGACGTAAATTGTGATTCCTCCCATAATCTGATGCCACACTTTGTGACGTTAATACAATGGCCCTCACACACACAAAAGAGCTTTAAACATGGTATAAAAAGGGAAATCGTCACAAGGAAACGTTTCAAAGTACAAATTAAAATGATACTAGGTCCAAATGATGCAGACTGTTCAAAACTTCACTAGAGAGACTCAAAATTAATTCATACGTGGTTTTTTAACGGCACCGTCTCTTTTTTTTCTTGAGAGTTATTTTAAAACGCTATAAGTGATCAAGTCAAGGAGGATGAGGTGGGCAGGCCATGTAGCACGATCGGGGGAGAAGCGGAATGCATGCACGATATTGGTGGGAAGGCCAGAAGGAAAGAGACCACTGGGAAGACGAAGGAGTAGGTGGGTGGACAATATTAAACTGGATCTTAGAGAGAAAGGATGGGATGGTATGGATTGAATTGGATTGGATTGATCAGGCGCAGGATAGGAACCAGTGGAGGGCTCTTGTGAACATGGTAATGAACCCTCGGGTTCCATAAATTGCTGGGAAATTCTTGAGTAGCTGCAGATTTGGCTTCTCCTCAAGAAGGGCTCAGATCCATAAGTATCAGCAGCACGACTATATAATGTCAAATGGTATGATGACTCATAAATGACAAATTGAAAAGGGTATTAAGGAAAAAGGTCGTGGTCTAATAAAGGTGTTATCCTGTCTGGAGAGGCTAAGGAAAACCACAAAACCCTCAATGAAGATAGCTGGTGCCCCAGCCGAGATTCGAACCAAGCACCTCTCCATTACAAGTGTAGAGCGTTATGGCTACGCTAACCCGCTCCGTCAACGACAATGTCAGCAGATCAGAACTTATAACATCAAACAGTAGGTTTATTGGCAAACGATGAATTGGACAAATGGTGGAAAGAATCGGCCGTGACCTACCTGAGGTATGAGGGGAGAGTCAGTAAATATGTCACAAATGGATATAAAATGTAAAACATGTGACATCTGAACCTGGACAAAAACACTTATGTCTCGACATATTCTCCACCAACACTGATACAACTGTCCCATCTCTTTACTAGCACGTCAAAACCTGCAGTATAAAAGTGTTTTGACTGTTGTCTCAGCCACTTCTGCATCTGGTGAAACATCATCTGTGGCTTTAGAACGTCCTTAAGAGAATTTCTAGACCAGCAATGAACCACTTTACACAACAACCACTTCCCGCAGTAAACAGGAAACATTTCTTTACGAATAACCCGTGTGTTGAGCCCTTTTTCTCACAAAAAACGTACAACAGAACTCTGCTTTTCTGTAATATACTCATGTACGGTCTTCATTTTGACTACTGTAACCAGCCTCTAATCATGCACATGCGCGTCTGCTCTCTAGACTGTCATGAAGCTGGAATATACTGCTACCTAGTAATACACGCAGAAAACATATATTACCTCCATTACAACTGTTGTACTTCCATTTGTGTCCTATTTACCGATTCTTCATAGTACTTTCCAGGCATTCTATAGGATGGATTGAGAAACATCATACAAATCTCAATCAGAATGTCCTGTTTCCGGCCGAAGATTTTAAATCGAGATCTCCCGCTTAAGAAACCAGGGTGCTACCCGCTCAATTGCAATGATCTGTTCTTAAATGTATGGATTTCCATTTTAAAAAATCAAATTAGCCTCAATGATGTGACCTTCACATTGGCGTGTACAGCCATTGCTATGTAATTACCACAAGATAAGCGAATAAACAGCAGTGTTATGCAACTCATTTCTAGGCAAAGGATCGGTAAACATGTTTCCGTGGCAACAAATATACACGCAACAAAAGTTGCACTGTGGCACTCTGTAATTTGGTAGATCTCTATCTACAAAACTACACGGTATCACATCCCAGAAGATGGTAATCTTAGTGTGCATTATATCTAGGCAATTACAGTGTTCTGTTAACGTGAGACAGTCTGTACTGACTCCAATTAGCAATTAGAGAGCAGATGGACAAATTCCCAACAGATGTCCACTCAACACACAGTAGACATGAAAGCATCAGTGATTAATTAAATTCCCCGGCCTGGTATCTATGTCAGTTCCACTACATACATTAAGGTGATAAACGATTGTCCAGCCACAACTGGAATATATTCTTGACATAAGAAACGTCATGTTTACTGTACATGTCCATTGTTGAGTGTCTTGAGAATCCTTTCCTTCTAGTTTGGCTAAGGCACAAACTTCAGAATGTGAAAATCGGGAAGATGACATAATATGTATACAGAATCATATGCAAGCCTCCAGGATAGCATCCAGTTGGAAAATCAAGCAGATGAGAGGATAACATTCAAATGGATCTTAGTGAGATAAGTTCAGAGATCTATATAAATGGGTTAGGATCACATCCAATGATGGTATTGTTAGTACTAAATGCCAGAACACGAATAATTTGAAGAAAATGTTCAAAAATGAAAGAGCTTGAACAGCAAATATCTATGGCGAGCAGGAAAGCCTGAGAAGGATGTCTCACCAACTGCCAAAGCCCTCAAACATGTAAGGAAACAGGGAAAATATCTATGAACAACTATATCACCGAGTTAAACTGTGTTTAAGACATATCCAAGGGTGCACCATCATCAGACCGTGATGTAGATCAATATGACATCATTAGAAAGTTACCAGATTCCATTTTTGACACATAATTGGAACCAAAATTGCCACACCAGAGATCTCACCGAACACATGGCACTTGTATGCTGTAAGGTCAGTTACTCAAGGTATGAAATACCTTCAGAGATGTTTCTGACAATGAATGATGATATTTATTTTTTGTAGGGGTCAGAGACTAGCTGACCTATAACATATATTCCAGTAAACTCTGCAGGTATGAGTTCGATTATCTACAAACGTTATACATGTATAAATGTATATGTTTGTAGCTCCTGTACCTCCTGTTTCTTTGCTGGGGAAACATTACCCTTGCAGATGCAGTATCACTTTGTTATGTAAGGAACTTCCAATATCATTGCAGTTTTGAAACATGAAGCCCATGAACTTTAACCCGTAACATGGACATTTTGTTGCCATCAAATTCTAAGCTTTCCTTCATTCCAGCAACAATATGTGTGCATGCATGTGTGTGAACTTCTCTCCTGTTGTTAGATGGCAACAATTTGTCTCAACACATTTCGACCAAAACTATCCGTGCCAAATTTTACCCAGCAAACAAACCTTCACATTGCTCATGGCATTAAATGATAACTTTGATTCACTGAGATATTTGAGGCGCTGTTCTAAGTCCCATGCAACATGCCATCTCTTGTCTGCTATTCACATTTTACAATTCTGTAAACTGGGCCACCACTGACCACTTCCCCACTTGAAACAGCCAAGAATCTTAAAGACCATTTCTTTGGTTCATTTGTGTAAGGCTGAGGGCTCACTTCAATGGTCTTTCACTTCCAACATTACATTAAAACTGTTATAAATATTTCATGGAGCACTGCATACCAGCATCTCGCTCTATGATGGCATACAGCATACAACACCAACAGATGCTTTCACCAGACACAGCTAAGCCTGACTGTCACTGATTCATTTACAAAGGGCACACAACAGTCCTTGCCACTACACTGATCATCTATTTTACCATAACTGTTTTGCAGAAGAATAATGACCACACTTTCTTGTCACTGGTTGAACCTCAATTCAAGTGTCTGCCTGTAAGTGAGGGCTTCTACCAGAAGTCCAAATCCATAATAGAAATGAAGTAGCTCCGTTGGCATGGCAGCTACACTCCAGGCTGGATGACAGGAATCAGGGTATTATTCAGAACAGGGACAAGATATTTCTTTCTCTTCTCTGCATTGTCCATGCCAGCTCTGTGGCCCACGTAGCCTCATATCTGATGGGCACCACAAACCTTTTAACGGAAGCAAAGTGGCCAGGGCACAAAGCTGACCACTCACCTTTATCCAACACTGAATTTAAGAATAAATGGAGCTACAGCTCCACTCCCCATACATCTTCATGATGTCATCGTTAATTAAGCATAGGAACAATTTCACCTTTAAGGGAAGCTAACAGTACCGTATAGAGCATGTGTCGATTATATGCTACATCACAATGCTAGTATCATCCTAGCAATAGAGAGCTTCCAATGATACGGTGCTTAACCTTTACCCCTTTCCTGTCACCTCTTGGAAGGCTTCTAACATCATAATTCTCTAGCACAGATGCACTAACTATAGCCTTCTGCCACTAACCTACAAATTTACTGCCACATTATGATTGTAGTGTAATAATATCTTTGCTCTTTACAGTCTTTGACATCTCTTCCATGTATCTGTGGTTTAGTTAATGCAACTACCAGTAGCTCATATTGCAGAGCATCAAATGATCATCTAATTAACAATGAATTGAAAAGGATGCAGAAGGAACTGCTTATGGCCTAAATTAAGGTATCATTCTGGTATCTGCCTGGAGAGACTCAGGAATTTCAGAAAGACATCCCAGATTCAAGTCAAAAAGTGTTTCCACTTGAACCAACTTTCCCAGTTAGTAATCTGTGCATAGGAACAACAAATTTTTCCACACCCATGTTGTTTCTCTTTTTTCCGTTTTTGTGCAAATCAATTTTGCAACCGGCAGCAGTCAGGTTGGAAATAAATGCAACAGGAATGGGTTACATAGTAGATATAGAAGACCATGCCATAGCTCAGGTGCTTAACCACCAACATCCCACCGTGACAGCCCAGGTTCAATTCCAGGTGAGGTCATGTGGGATTTGTGGTACACAAAGTGGCACTGGGGCAGGTTTTCTCCAAGTACTTCAGCTTTCTCTGCCAATTCTCATTCCACCCACTGTTCCACACACATCATCATCATCTATCACCCAGGGCTCGTACAACAGGCCAAATAGTGGCTGTCATGCCAAGTGTACTCAGCCTCGCCCCACCCTCAGACACTAAAAACAAAAAACCAAAACTGTATATCTGAGAGGTTTAGTTCATACTTTCATTGCCCATGTTGTACTGGTGTTCGTAGTGACTTAGGGAAGTGCAACTATTTCAGTCACCCAAAGCACTCAACTGCCACTGGGTTCACTGTGTTTCCATGATCTTGTTGTGGCACTTCAGAGATCCCCATGCATAATGGCAGAGTCAGAACCATCCAAACATTGGCCCTCCTGATATCTGTGAGCTTTCACAATGCACAGCTGAACACTTCTATTCTACGTTTAGCCAAACCTGAGCACTGACAAAGTACACAGTAGGAGCATTCCTCCTCCTGCCCATATCTCCTGCACATGGCACTTTCCAAGAGGCTCATGACATGCGTAGGTGCTGGCTTTGTGTGCAGTGGCCAGTCACCATCCTTGTCACCAACCTACAGTGCTCATCTAATAACATCTCTAGCAGCAAAAGTTGACGTTTTCACAGCAACAACAATTTAGATTCCTGTCTTCATCATTGTGACACTATGTAGACTTGTATGTGGGTTATGTCTCCACAGCGCAGTACTCGGTACTCAGAAACAGAAACACACTTATCTTCCTCTACATCTCACAACACTATGGGCTTCCACAGCCTGTTACATGCATAGCCTTACCCTTACTCTGATGTTTCACAGTTTCTTAGATAACCAACAAAATATTTCAATTTCACAGCTTCAAAACTGCAGTAAGTAAGGATTTTCAACTACAAGAATTCATAAAGCAAGAAATGCATACCATTTCTTCCAACTGCAGCTCCATGCATGACAGCAAAGGGGAAGACACGCATATGAAATCATGCTTTGTAGTAAAAAAGTAAAACTCCTGATTTTGTGTTGCCACACTTTGCAAATCGCATACTTCATTAATATTTCTCTGGTCCCAGTTCAAGGCCAACATAAATAATATTTTACTTTTCTGTACTTTGCCAGAAATCGTTACCGCACAAACATAATTTCTGGTGAGTTATGACATATACCAAATACACACCAAAGCCATATTAGTTGTGAGGTCATAGTTGCTTTGATTCTAAACTGGCATTCTTAGTGTTTGTTTCATATATCATTACTTGTTTCAGAAAGTAAATAAACTGTTTACCACAATACCACAAGTCTCAAGACAAACAGTTTTTTGATGTAATTTTGCACAAACCTTATTCAGTGAAAACCTCAATTTGGCACATGAAAGCCATTCCCTCAGGAGACTCATTGCACAGGGATTTCATTGTACACATGGTACCTTAACATATATTTTCTTGAAACAGAAAACAGAGGTAATGAAGTACTCGTATTTCATGGGCTATTTTCTTATATGAAAAGCAAGTTGACAGTATGACCTGCATGAATTTTACATCAGTCTGTAGTATTTTTGTGTAGGAAAGGGACCATGTGAACCAGCTTATGTATATGTGAGCTGCAGAATTAGGCTAAAACTTTAGTTCTTAGTAATACTGCTCTGTTCAAAAGTTAACAGAGTTAACAGGGAGGGGGCAGATTAGTTCCCTGGGCTGATGGGTCATGGGCCAGGCTGACAACCAATGTTCACATCATGAGGATTTACACTTTAAAGGGAGCGTCAAAAGCAACCACTGCTATAATTTCATCTGACTAATTGACAAAAAGAGGCCGATTCCAAAAACCAGCTGAGAATCTGGGCATGGCCTATGTTCAATAGCCCTACTCGACCACAAACTAAGACCCTGGCCTCAGCCTCCGTCACCAAATTAAGGTAGGCAAGATCTCTCTGGTAACTACAATAATTCAGTTAAATATTTTCTGAACGTTTTAAAAAAGGAATGAAATTTCATTTCAATAAATGTGCATCAAGAAGACCATGCATGGATGAAGGTAAAGGGAGACTAAATGATGAAAGACATACACAAGAGAGTAGGGAAATAATGGACACAGATACCAAAGGAGTGAAACTGAATGTGAAGAAAGGATCTACCATAAGATGAACCAATTTGGTAGGCACATCAGTGGAGGGTAGTTGGAGGAGGAAATTATGATTATATCATCATCATATTTCATATCTTATAAAATATTTAGGAGCTGAAAGATTTCAAAGACAATCATGGTATGCCCACAAGGAACTGGAAAAAGAGGGGTTAAGGTGGGTAGGGAAGGGATAAAAGGTAAGGAGTATTGGCCCACCTCCAAATTGTGTAACTGCACAAAGACAGTAAATTACAAGCATGTCTTGAAATTAATATGGATCCATCTAAAGCAAGATACCATTAAAAGTGAATAAAATCTAAGGGGTATACTTACAAAAACTAGCATTATGAAAAATGCAGCCAAATAGGATGTGCGGGCCATCCACATGCTCACAAAGCGGTAGTGTTCTCCTGTTACCACATTCCTGGAGAAATTACACAAAGAACCCATGATTAACACTGATTCTGTCATCAAAATCACTACCTATACATAAAATCAAATTACATTTAACTATGGCAGAGCAAAACCTTCAGAAAAATTCACCATTTGATGAACACATTTCATTTCCCTCATACAGAAAAACATTCTTTCCCATCAACCGAATATAAGCAAGTTGGCTAGCAGCCGAAATTTGTTTCCATTTTATGTGGATTGATGGTAAAAAAAAAAAAAAAAAGCCTCCAAGCTCTCTTTTTTTCTAACAAGCTTTCCTCTTTTACTTTTTGTAAATCTGTTAATTAGGGGGTGAAAATTAAATTTCGTTTAATGATATTATAAAATTTTCTGTTATTATAACCAGGCATTCCAAGTTCAACAAATCAGTATTACAAATAATTAATGTATACGAATTCTTAGCTATTTTGTGCCAAAAATACCTAGTTCAATCAAATAACTGAAACTGCAATTCACTTTGGAATAATTTTTGTTCACTTATTAGTTGTTCAGAGACAAAATAATCCTTCCTCATTCATCTAATATGAACACAACCATATTAGTTTTCTCTTTTTAATTTTCAGTGCATTCTTGTGTGCTACGAATACATTTTGATGTTTTGAATGTATAATGACAGGTGTAGTGCCAACAACAAGAGATATACAGAACCCAGTTAGCATACCCCACCTGAGATAACCTTTGTTGTCCTCCTGTTCAGCAAGCGTCTTGATGCTTGCCATCAACAAATCATCATATCCCAGAAATTCATCCAGGATAAAGCGACTGAATGCATCACCAAAGCACGAATCTTTAGTGGGATCCAAGGTCACAATTTTCACAGGTATGTTGAGTTTCTGACGAGTCCCCGGAGAAAGACGCAGAAATCCATATTCCAGTGAATACTCCACAATGTATTCTTCCTCTGGCAACACTAGAAACACAGTAACTATGAAACATCCTCACAAGATGTAGCAAACAAATGTAAACGTAAAGTTATTCCCATGTTTAAATGATGTCATATGAAGACAAACGACAAAAGGGGGCAACCTTGGCACTAAACAGAGGTGAACGGTCAGGTTCACTCTGCTCCTTTTACCCCTGAGTAAGGAAACCCTGGTAACTACTGGATAGGAAGCTATGATGACCCTGGAGGCAGTTTTATAGTGCTGAAAAAGGCAACAATTCTGGCATTCCTACCAGGAACAGAACCTAGCACCCCAGTCTGCACCCTCATCTATTATTAACTAGCAAATTTTCATTTGCAGTGTGAAATAGTTTGTTGAGGACAGAAGTGATCTGGTATTTGGAAAATGGAACATATTTGATGGCTAAGACAGAGACATGTTCATTTTTCCTACTAATTTATGTAATTAATTTCTAGCCTCTGCAGACTGGAGTTCAGTACAGCTGTAAAACATGCTTATCACTTCAATATCTGCACCAAATATTTTCTGAAAGGGGTGGCATGGAGGTATTTAAAAAACTGTATCAAAGAATACAGCCTGGCTCTGTAATAACTCTTTAATCAAAGAGGTCTTCAGCAAAATGCGTGGGCAGAACAGACAGATTTACTTGTGGTCAATACTTCCATACTGTTATAAGAAACTAAGATTACAGTCTTCTGGGATGTAACACAACTAGTTTGGCAGATAGGCAACCAATGTTTCAGAGGGAAACACTGCCTCCATCTTCCATAGTACACAATATTACATTCCACAAGACCTTAATCTTAAAACAAAACACCATGAGAACTTCAAATCTCAGAATTACTGGGTTTTCAGACTTGGCAATTGTCCATTATTCTAAAAATTACAAAATGCAACGTTTCTGAAACTGGATCTGTTTCCATCCTCAGGTGAGGGTGCAGATACCTACTCTGTTGCGTCTCTTAGAAACAGCTAACCTGAAGCTCCTTCTAAGGAACCCAACAGAGTAGGTGTTTTCCCCCTTCACCTGAGGATGCAAACAGATCCAGTTTCCGAAACGCTGTGTTTTCTAGTTTTCAGAATTCCGGACAACAGGCAAAGTCTGAAAACCAAATAATTCTCAGTAATATACACTACTGTCAGTACCCTTTAGAATCAACTTCAAATAAGAGAGTTTGTATAACAAATACAAGATGTTTCTGCCTACAATAAAATGTACAACATATAACAACTTTTACACAATGACTACAACTACACTTTCAATAAATCATGAGTCATGATATGTATAAATAACATGTTGTTCCTCATACACACCTGCTCGAACCAGTTTCTCGACTTCAGACACTGATTCTTTCAAAGGAGCAATGATTTTATCACCAATCAGTGATTCATCCATTCGTGTTGTTTCATTTGTGTGAAGAATGAACTGTAACATAAATATATTTCAGTTACTTGTGAAAGTAGCCATGAATAAGAAATGACAACCTTTGATAGAAAGGGTATACCAAATGGAGAGCACACATTCAGGTAATTCTTTCATCTTTTCCCTAAACTCCAATATTCCGGACTGAAACACTGTGACAAGAAAAGCAACAGCACTCTCATTACGACAGAGTGGGGCTAAAGTTCAATGGAACAACTGCTATATGAACTATCTACAGGACACAAACTGACTAACAAAAACAGGAGTATTACCTTCTGGGATGTAACCCATGTAACCTAGCAGAAGTCCAATGATGCAGCATTTCTCAAAACTTTTCTTATAAAGTAAAAGTTGTTACTTTGCTTACCTAGCTAACCACTATGCCATGAAGACACGTGGAGGAGTGGCTGTATAGATTCAAGGTTTCTTGACCTTGACACTATTTGGATGTGAGTGATCAGCTTCAAGCCCCGGCTGCTTTACCCTGCGGTAAGAGCCCCCCGTATCCATTGGATACCAGGTTGGGTAGGCCCCAGAACTGTTCTGGACAACATGGAGAAGAGAAAAATTCTTGATCCTAACAGGACTTGAACTCCAATCCCTCAGCCATCAAACCCCGTAGCCAGTTGCTATACCAATTGCGCAATCCGGGCTCCACTGCCTCCATCAACAGGATGTTTAACTGATTTCTTATAAGTACCGCTTTTTCAGTCTTTGAAGTATACAAATGCCTAATATTTTCTGCGACTGCAACACAATTTAGTCTGGCTGTTTGGAAGAAATTGCCTATATGCAATAAACTTGCCATCATTAGAGCTTAAAAATATTCAGACATTTAAGTGGTGTTCATGTACCCCCTTGACTTCTCTTGCACACCCCTAAGACTACACACACCACCAGTTAACAAACACTGAGGACTGATGATCCAAAGGAACATACTTCACCGTTCTTCAGTGTCAAAGAGTAAGCCAACAAAGAAATTAGCAAGAAACAGGTGGACAAGAGGCTCTATTCCTCAACCCTAAAGATCAAGGCTGTGTTCTCCTACGAAACATCATTTGACTTTTATTAGACGACACTGCATTATATCCCAGAAGACGGTACTCTTCACAGTTACTGCTGTGATAACATCAAATCCATTAAATGTCAAGTAAATCATCCTAGAAACAACTGCTCTACGACAGATTTGTTAAAATTAAGGTTGCAAATTTCTGGGTTATGACACCATGCACAGATAACATCATTCTTAAGTGCATGAACTAAAAACATAACCAGTCTCAAGTCCAGTGATCAATGTTCATATAAAGTTTACTCTTGACTATGACAAATTTTGTCTGAATGACATTAGTATACCACTACTGCTCATATTGACTGATATCCTATATACATCTGTGAGTCCTCATTCTCACCTCTTCTTGTGGATCCAAACCTTCAGGCTGGCCTGTATCAGCCTCAGCAGGAACCTAAAATATCAGGATGAACAATGTATGAGACAACTGCAACAAGTACCTTTCTAATGTTTGGACCAATGGACAGAAAACTGTGGCATGAATTTGGGACAGACGATGAATACGTGCAGACAGGGTCTGGTGGTTAAAGCAGAAGGATAGAGACAACTATGAAGACCTACAGTATATGAAGATGGAAGGATAATATTAAAATGGATCTTACAGACAAGGGAGGGGGGTATGGTCTGGATTCAACCATCTCACGATAGAGCCCAGTGGCAGGCACTGGGAGCGGGGTAATAAACCTTCAGGTTCCATTAAATGTTAGGTATATTTTGCATGGCTGAGCAACTGTTGGCTTCTCAAGGAGGAGGGGAGAGGGGGTGACTTAGAGAATGAGTGGGTGACTGGGTGAGTCAGTCACTCACTCAGTATGAAAGCTTCAAATATATATAAATAAAACATTCCTGTGTGGAGGCAGGTTAGAATATCTCCATTGTAGCCCTGCAAGTCACAGAAGGCGACGATAAAGGATCTCTGTGCCTTGGGGCATAACTGGGCAACTCTGTCATTGAGGGACATAAATACAGAGACCTGGTCCTCCAGGTTGAGGGTGGGGTGGGGGGTTTTGGTCATGAGGCTGCTAACATTGCTCTATTAAAAGAAAATATTGCTGCAAAATTGAAAGGCATGAAAACTGGATACAATCTGGCAGAATCTTCTAAGGCTATATGGCTCAAAAATGGCTGTACTGCGAATGATAACGACGATGATATAGAGACAGCATCTTTAGGAATATTCTGATCCACTCCTGGCTTGATTACTTTCTTCTTGGGCTTCACACTGTGTGGTCCAATACATTATTATTACATTCCACTTAGACTGCACCTGGGGCCACGCCACAGCTCAAGCGGTTAGTCGCTGGCTTCCCACCGCAGCGGCCAAGGTTCGATCCCCGGTCTGGTCAAGTGGGATGTGTGGTGAACAAAGTGGCGCTGGGGCAGGTTTTCTCAGAGTACTTCGGTTTCCCCTGCCAATCTTCATTCAACCAATAGCTCCAAAATCACCTTCACCTATCATCTGGTCTGGTACAACAGGCCAGAAGTGGCTGCAGTACAAGGGATTTAGCCCCACTCCACTAGCAATAAAAAAAAATACTCTGCACCTGAAAAGAACCTCTAAAGAGCCACTGCTTCCTTACCTAGTTCCTCCAGGCTTCCTTCTCTTACTGACTCACTTGCAGCTATTATTTCTTCCACTTGCTCTGCCCTTTAAAGAGTCAGAATTCTTTCCACTGTTCTCCTTTCTCCTACTGATTTACTCTAGACCCTAGTCCCCATCTCCCATCTCCCTATATATGTACTATTTCCATGTTCAGCTTACTTGTCTACCCTAAAGATGGATGCATCAGGCTCCTCTGAATATTGGAGATCTCACATATTACAAAGCATCATGTCACATCCCAGAAGAGACTAATCTTCACAGTCACGGCCATGAGAACCTCAAATTTTATTTTCTTAGGTAATTTAAGTCGTAGCGACAAAATAAACGAAAGATGATCATGTATGGCCAGTACATTTATGACAGTTGATTAGGGATATTTCTGTGTAAGATTTGAGGCTTTCACGGCGGTGACTATGAAGAAAGCAGTCTTCTGGGATTTGGCACCGTGTATATGTGGTGTTAACCGACGTTTGGGAGGAACATATCGCCTCCATCTTCAGGGTAGAAGAAAAAATATAAGAAATCTGCAAGCGAAGAGACCGTGAGACCACAGTCTGCTTTTACCGATTCTCACGGTCTCTTCGCTTGCAGATTTTTTATATATTTTCTTCTACCCTGAAGATGGAGGCGATACGTTCCTCCGAAACGTCGGTTAACACCACATATACACGGTGCCAAATCCCAGAAGACTGCTTTCTTCAGGGGTATTTCTGTTTGCATGCAATGTGAAGTTCCCTATTACAAATAGTTCACTGTTTCCAAAACTACATCAACAACTTACCTGCCCAGTTTCAGGAGATGTTGTATCCCAAGCTGTTAATGAAACAGCTGGAGCATCTGTGTCTGAAACATACAAATACACTTTAGTTAAACAGAACTATGCATTTTGCTTTGCTTCGATGATACAGCATACTTTCAAGGCTCTGGCATATCTCCCGATTGAATGATGTTAACACTTCGAGGTCCAAATTTCTCCTACATAATATTTAAAAATTCAATTTCTACCTCACAGGAAACACATTATGACTCCACAATGATGACAAACCAGTTAACGCAGTTTAGGGAAACAATCGGTTTATTCCAAAAATAATACAAAACACAAACACACTGTGTGGACAAAATGCTGAGTTTCTCCATCTTAATGCAGGTGATATATATGTATAGCAATAATTGTGCCTTAAAGAATTAACTATTCTGAAACATACTCAGCTGAGTCCATTAGTTTAGAACAGAGATTAGCTCCACCTAATGGACCCAACATAATAGGTTTAATACTTTCACCTGACAAACAGAAGCACATCTACCTCCCCATAAATTGTGATCTTTAACCAAAAATGAAATGATGAAAACTGTCCAATCCCAGCGTCACTTTAAAATTTGTACGTAATTTTAATGTACCATACAAATTTCATATCTTAACTTACAATAATTAGTCAGACCAAACTATTTTGCACAGTCATCATATTTCTATTTGTTTATTCCCATAACATTTAGCCCAGTAAGACTTTCATGTTTGTTACAGATGTTATCACCGTACAAAAAATGAAGACATTACAGCAAATGGTACAAATGTTATCTCTAACAGACATGTTTGCATGTTTGTCATGTTGGTATGGTTGCTGACCAGGAGATGGACTGTCTATTATGTCAATTGCAGCAAATATCTGTTTATAATTGGAACTAGTATCCAAATCTTAACACATTATTACACTCCACTGGAAGATGTTCAACATTTTTCATGTATGTCCACTGTGAGAAGTCTTCTGCCACCAAATTTAAGAATTTGCTACCATGCTATGACCACATGCTGAGTGCAGCAACTATGTTCTTTATATTCTTTGACTTCCTTCCTAGTAATCTGCATACAGGGCCAACAGATGGCAGCAGTTTTATACTAAAAATCAGAGTCCTCATTGTGGTGAGTGTTGAGGATCAAATTTGGGATTGAAAATTTAAGTCATTACCTAGGTGCCTGGAGACTTGCGAAAGGTGTTTTGCAGTGAAAGAGCAAAGATGACAACACATGGACACGCAATTAGGTTAAGAATGCGATAATCAGCATTCATGCGTAATACCGTATGCAAAACGCTCCGCTAACTAGGCCACTGGAGATGGTCATATGAGTAATACACAGCGATAAGACGCAAGAGGTCCACCCCCAGCCACATAGAATATCCAATGAGAATATAACTGTGGGAATAGAGGGCACGGAGGAGGAGTTAACTACCCTCTGTCGTCAATGCCTAATCAGCAAAGTAACACTATAAATTAGGGAAATTCAAGAGACTTGTAATTCTGATTTTAAACAGAATAGAGAGTTGTCAGCCGAAGGCTCTCTTCGACATGGGTCAGACTAGCGGAGGCAGTGTGCCGACATCTTGTACTTCAGGTGGGTCTGTTCACGTATATTAGCCATGCCGATTGATAATCTGTTGTTTGATAGTAATGGTGATAACTGTGTGGTTGAGTTATTTTAATGTGTAAACTCCAGTGTACCCAGTGAGCCCCGAGGGTAGGATGATAGATTAATGTGAAGGCCTAGGACATTAGGCAGGCCA